CTCCAAATGCAACCCTAGATGCCTCCCCTCCTATAAATACCCAACACCCCACCACTTGTAAATACTTTGGATTATATGAATTTGAGAGAGCATTTTTGCCTCAAATCCTTTCCTTAGTCCCTAGGTTAGTTCGGCTAGCCTCCTCCTATCTCCACCCTTGGAGAGTAGGAAACCTAGAGTGGCCTCCACCTACCTTGGAGTGAGCCAACTTTGAGCACCCAAACACCTCCACCCTAAGTGCTTCCGCCCAAACACCATCATCTCACGCCAACCCCCTTTCCTTCACCATATATCCTCCTTTTGTCCACCTTGTTGAACCTAGATCAAGGGCAAGGCTTCCTCTCCTTCATCTCTACGTCATTCCATGGAGAAGGAACCCATCACCATTCCTCTTGGTTCTTTTAGTATATCACCTCTTGGATTCTTTGGCCTTGGCCATAGTCTATCAGACTATGTCCAGGTGGTGGCAGAGTAAGCAGATTGTTGTTGCTGGCCTCCTCCAGGATGTGTACCCAGGGCGCATTCAAGGGGTTGTAGAAATCGTACCTCCCCCCTTTGTTCGCCTTAGCGGCCTTCTTGAATTGGCTGTCATTGGTGACCTTTATCTTGTCTTTGTGACCGTGGTCTGACTTTGCCTATGATTTTCCACGAACCTGGTCATGAAAAGTGGAGTGCTCTTCCATCTGAATGTACCCTACAACTCGGGCACGAAGTTCATCCATGTCAAGGGGAGATCGTCGACACAGGTTGTCGACGAAAGGTCTTGGCTTGAGCGCCATGAGCATGGCGTGTAGGGAGACCTCAGGGTTCAAGTTTCAGATCTTGACCGAGATGTTGGCGAAGCGCTCCATGAACGTCCTCAGTGGTTCGTCATCGCCCTATCTAATGCTGGCCATGGTGACTGATGTGACATGGTGAGGTCGGCTCGTTGCATAATACGCCGTGAATCGCCTTATCAGGGTGTCGAAGTTGTCGATCGACCCCACCAGCAATTGTGTGTACTAGGCTAGTGCTGCTCCCTTGAGCAAGGTCAGAAAAACCCTACATAGAATAACATCCTCATTAGTGTATAGGTTTACCTGTGTAATATACAGATCGACATGCTCGTCCGGGTTAGTAGTGACATCGTAACGGTCGATGCTGAGAGGCTTCCATCCAAAAGGGAGGGGTGTCTCCATGATGCCGTCGACAAAAGGATGGCAGTGGATGCTCGCCCTACTTTCTAGAGCCTAGGCAGGAGCATTGCTGACTTCGTGGCCTGACCTATTTGTCGATACGTGTGACCAATGAACGGTAGATTTGTGGGTTGCTGCCCTGGGTGTAGTCGGTGGTTGGGAAACCGAGTGCCCCTCTTCCACGTGTGGATTACTTGGTTGAGGGGGTTGATCAAAAGGGTGTCGAGGAAGCTGGGCGCGGATGCGCTCATTCTCGGCACGCAGCGTCGTGAGGTTGGTAATGTTTTCCAGGTCGACAGCGTGTTACTGCCGCATTTGTTCGACCTGTTCGATCAGCCTCCTCAATGCTGCTTCACCTTCCATTCTTGTTTGTGCGATGTAGGTCGTCTGTTGCTTGTCTACTATGGCTTCGGGTGAAAATCATAAGCGTGACCGATAAGAGATGTCTTGATCGGCCCCACAGTGGGCGCCAAATGTTCTTATCGGAGATCAGTCGTAGGGGACAATCTGCTGGGCAAGATTGGTGAGCCTCCTTCACTAGGTACGGTTGTTGTTCCAAGATGGAAGTGATACCTGCAAAAGAGACTCCGATGCTAAAGTTAGTGTTTATGGGTGTATGGGTCTCGTATAAGTAATGCACGTACCTTTGTGTAATTTAGGGTTTTTCTGGGCCTTGGGCCTAAGATCGGTTATAACCTATTTGGGTAGCGGGTCGATGTCGCCTAACACGTATCCGAGATCGTTCTGTGTCGTGATGCCGAGCTAGAGCTTGGCTTCGCGGTACAGATAGTACAACTTCCCTTTTCTTTTTCTTTGATTCAGTTATGTACGATTGAGATAGAAAAAAAAACAATTATAAGCAACCCACTTGCCACATCAGCATTTTTTCTCTCTTTTTCTTAAGCAACGGAGCTTCTACAAGCAACTTTGCTGAAATTTAAACAACCTATTTTAATACCTAAACAATGAAAAGAGGTGATGTGGCACAGTGGGTTGCTTATAAGCAACCCACGCCGCAGATGACCTAAGCTCGCTCTAACCACCTTAAATTTAAACAACTTGAATTTTACTTTGTAAGCTCACTCTAAGAGATGTTCATATAAGACACGACTTCTTAATTTAAAATAATAATAAATATCTCATAATGGAGATACTTTATGAATTAAAAGACAAAATATTATATAAAAATATATAAAATAAAAAATAAAATTATTTAAATATTTTTTATTCTTATTTTTACTTATAATCTGTACTTTAATATGTATATTATGTAAGTAAAATGCCTAATATATATAACTAAAAATTATAATAAAATATTATATTTAATATAATAATATATTTAAAATTTATAATAAATAATATCTTTTAGTTACATTATCATAAATGTTACAAAATATTACTTTTAAAAATTAATAAAAATTAAATTAATCTGTAAAACTCTAAAAGAAAAAGACAGTCGAAAACAGGCTCTTGTGCGAAAGATAGGCGTTCATCTGGTTTTTTATTTATTATTTATTTTTATTTTATATATATATATATATACATATATATATAATGGGCGTTCATCTGGGCTTGATCGATGAAACGTTCCTGAAAAGTGTGGGGAAGCGAGTGCCTGATTAGTTTGACCGAGACGAAAATCCGATCGAATCGTAGACGAAGAGGAGAGAATGGGAGTGATCTCATTTGCGGTGGGAGGCGTTGGGTTGATAGCGGTGGGTGGTCACGAAGCCCTTGTTCACGGGCGAGCCGGAGCGAAGAAAACCCCCTCACCCCTCTTCTGGATCTCCCTCGTCATCTTCTCCTCCTTATTGCTCCTCAACTCCACCGTGTCCCTGCTGGATGCCCACAACTCAAACGACGCCGTTGGCACCGCCCTTCAGCTGCAGGTCCTCCCCGTCGCTCTGCTCTTCCTCTTCTACTCCCTCCTACCTCTCCTCCTCCCTCTCCCCTCCCCCTTGCTCTCCCTCGTTGCCTCCTTCGCCTTCGCCCTAGAGTTCCTCCTTTTCTACCTTCAGCGCAAAGACCCCACCGGCGTCGAGAATCGCTACTACGACCTCTTCCTCCTCCCCATCGCCCTCTGCCTCTTCTGCACTCTCCTCCACGTCAGATCTCCCTTCTCCCATTTCCCCAGACTGGGCCTCGGCCTCGGCCTCATTCTCCAGGGCACTTGGCTCCTCCAAATGGGCCTCTCTCTCTTCTCGGGCTTCGTCGCCCATGGCTGCTCCTTGCACCGGCCCAGTAGAGGCAACTACACCTTGCGGTGCCAGGGTCACCCTGAGTTTCACAGAGCTAGGGCTATTGCCACGCTTCAGTTCAATTGCCACCTCGCTCTCTTGCTGCTGCTCTTCGTTGCCTTTTTCTCTGCCACCAACTCTGGTTCTATTCCCACCAGCTACGCCCCACTCGGAGCTGAATTGCAGCATATTCACAACTCTCCCAACTTCACTCTCGATTCTGATGACGACACACCCAGCCCCAAGGAGAAGGTTCTCGTTCTCAACGGTAATGCCGACTGACTCAACTCAACTATCTTCCTTGCATTTGTTGCTGTTTTTCTGTTTCTTGTATTTCAGTTAATAATTATCCAATTCAAAGTTCCATTGTAGAGTTTGTATGTTCATATTTCGGTTGCCAACTTGTGTAGAAATTAAGTGCTGTATTGTGTGCGAGACCGACCATATTCTGCGTGCTAAATTCCGAGTTGTATGTAATAGTCATTGGAATTGCTCTGCTGATTCTTGTTTTGGCTAGTTAGTTCATTGTAATGGTAGTTTTATTCTTAACTTTGCGCTCAACAAACTTTCTTATTCTCATTCCAGAATGCTTGCCATTGTAAAGTGTTCAATTTAATGAACATCAAAGTGTATTCTCTTGGCAAGTTTTTAGTTGAACATGAACACATTTCTTGCCTCCTCACTTTCAATCAGATTGATATAAAGGAATTATCAGAAAACTGAGAAGATGAGATACAAATTACCTCAACTTGATGAAGCCAATTATCGGAGTTCATTTTGTAATTGATTGAATAAAAGGTACATTTGAAAGTGACTGTGAACTAATTATATTGAGTTTATTAGAATTAACAAAATACTTCTGACTGACTAATAACAACCAAATAATATTCTAAACAAACTAATTACTCGTAACAGGAAGGTCCGTTTTCTATTCGTTTCCTGCGTGTTTGTTGCGTTGTTAACATTTAAAAATACAGGTTTGCTGAAAGAGACGCCCGTAAGTTGTAATTGCTACTCTTGTGATGACTTTCAATGTTTTTGTGCACTGATGAATTTGGATTTACTTACCTTCTTGGGTAATTGTTCTACCCACTATCTTTCTTATATTCACTTTCTGCAGTCTGCACACCTAGATTCACCTCTAGATGGGTTTCATGGAATTTCAATGTACAGATTCTTAAACAATCTGGAGTCTCTTTGTACAAATACAAACTCCATCTATATCAAGTAAGATATATTCGTTTATATATTAGGGAAGTTTTTGGTGAGATGGTTACCTTAACTAAAGGAAACTAGTATAATTATGTTCTCACTTGTTAGTGAATATGTATTGTTTAGTAGCTATGAAAAATTTGATCACGTTTCTCTTTCTGAGGAAAAAAAAAAAAAAAAACTATTTAGAAGACTTGAATATTGCTTCAGGAAGGAATAAGGAAAATCACCCTGTAAATCTACTAGTACGGACTTCTATCTATTTGCCACAGCTCTTATGGATGTTACTCAATGATTGCTCTGTCAGCTCATTTATGCAGAAGCCTTGCCTTGCTGAAAGGTACAAAAGATAAACGCAATTAACTTTGTTTCTGATTGTTTTAGATTGTTTCCGATGCGAATGGGAAAGTTAGAGTAGCGATGACAAATATACCTATACATGTGGGTAATACCTGAATCCGTCCCGACTTTGACGGAGAATACCTAGTTTAACCGAGTACGGGTACAGGTAAAACCCGATATATTAAATCGGGTGAGTTCGGATACATGTATGTACTTACCCGTCCGTCCCGTATCCATCCCCGTCTCCGTTCCCTTTTAATTTAATACCCACTATTATATTAAAAAAATTTAATATTTTTTTATGTGTAATTATTTATTATAATATGAGATAGAAAGATAACTTAATTATAATTATATAATAAAAAAAATAATTTAAATATATATTTTTTTTACAAAATAAAAAATAAAAAAATTGACAGGTACGGGTATATTCGATACTCGACGAGAATGGGGATGAGGATGAAAATCATATACCCGACGGGTACGGGGACGAGGATGAATTTGACTCGCAGGGACGGGAACGGGTATCATGAAACCCGTACTTGACTCGCCCCATTGCCATCCCTATGTTAGAGGTCCTTTGGTTTGATATGTTTTCATTTTGTTTTTCCACTTTTAATTAAAATAGTGTGTCATGTTTCCTTTTTTTTTTTTTAAACAAACAAGGAAAATAATAAAATAATGTTTTTATTGTTTTTTTTTATACATATCTTTAAAACAGTCAAAGATAAAAACAAGGTGACAGTTTTGTAAAAATAAAGTGAAAATAGAAAATATATTTCCAAACAAATATTTTCTTACAAATTTTGATGCACCTATCTATTTTAGAGTTGTTTTTTTTTTAAACGAAAGCTCATGTGCACTAAGCATCACTACATAACAAAGATATTCTAACGAGTTAAACATACATAAATAAATAAATAAATAAAATGACATGCAAGCAAAGCATGGAGACTAGGGTAAAATCCATGAAACATAAGTCAACAAAACATAAAAGAAGGCAGTTTGCAACAATTATTGGGAAAAAAAAGCTCATAATAAAAACAAGCATGACATCTCGCCATATGAACCTAACCTTGTGTTGTAAACCATAGCCTACTAACTTATCTACACACTAGTTACCCTTTTGGAATATATAAGACAACAAAAAAATCATATGTGAACAAAGGTTAACGCAATGTTTCCACCTGTTACAACTAATCTAAGGCATAATATTAATGTTTTGGAAGGAAGAAAGGCAAGCTTAGAATCACATTCTAACCATAATTTGTTCAAACCTTGTTTGTGAGCATGCTAAATCTCTAACATTAGAACAATCAATTTAACTTGAAAAGCCAAATCTATCTCGATGTAAGAAGAGAAACCACCCAAATAAGTCCCACTACTAAAACTAAAAAGGCCACTACAAGCAACATGATTGGTAGCACCCCAGCACCACCGTTAGTGTTACATTTACTACATTCACAAGTTGGAGGGAATTGGACAAACTGTGTAACCTACAACTTGTAGGAGGCATAGTATGAGTAAGGAATTTTCCCTTGATAGTAACATATTGCCTAGAACTGCATATACAACCTTTCAATAAGAAATTTGAAATGGACACCATTGAGATTACCGAGGAGATTAATTGCTGAAAAATGCAACATGACAACTTTTGAATCTCAAATTATTTTTGTCACACCAAATGATGTGTGACATAATAATAGAATCATGCTCAAGGGTCAAGTACAAAAAGAACCAAGAAGAGTGGGCTAGGCATAAAGGAGGAAGGCCTAAACTCATGTCGAGGATTGAGTTACTTAATTGTAGTCATATATATATATATATATATATATATATATATTGTTGTAAATATTTATTTTATTTTGATCTTGTATTTGGGTTAATTAGAATAAGAATTTATTTTCTTATAATTTTCTATTAGGGGTGTACCTAGTATTCTTAGGGGCTACAACTAGTAATTGAAAAATATACTAATTGGACTTAGTTCGACAAAAGAGGGAGGAGAACATTTTTTCCTTGAAATTAAGTTTTAATGTTAACAAACTTGAACATTTTTGTTAAAGACATGTTTTTTCAGATCACATAGAAAGATGAACCTAAATAGATAATTGGTTATTGATAGACTATGGCCAAGGCCAAGGAATCCAAGAGGTGATATCATAAAAGAACCAAGAGGAATGGGATGATCTTCAAGACCTTTTCATATGTTTTGTACAAAGTTTCTTTTGTATAGGTTATTTTTGCCTTTGTATTTGTAAGGCACTTTATTTCCCTTTTTAGTAGCTATTGTATATTGATTCTAGGGTAGGTTACTTGGATACTTTGACTCCATTTAACCTAACCTAGAAATACATTCTTTTCTTAGTTTTCTAGTAGGAGTGGCATTAGCAAATTAGAGAGTGTCCTTAGTAAGCTAGAGAGTGCTCCTAGCAATTTAGCCAAAGGTGGTCCTAGGCTAAATTTTTCATATTGGACTCATTTTACTCCTAATTTTTCATAGATTTGATTTAGCTAGGTTCCATTCCCATTGAATGAACCTAACTAAACCAAATTAACCATTTTCAAATCAAAAGGAGTAAATTAATTCCAAGAAGCCGCCCACCTTAGAAGTGTGTTCACACTTGTGT